CCTCCCCTAACCCTCCCCTCTCCCCCCCTGTAATGCCCTCCTTTTCCCTTTTTTCTTTTCTCCCCCCTCCTCTTTTTCCCCCTTTCTATCTTATCAGTTCTTTTCTTTTCTGCTACAACTTATGCTCTTAGATCTTTTTCCTAAATCTTCTTTGATGGGTGAGGGACATCAACTGTATATTATGTATGTTTTTATAATCGAACTCAGGATGACCAGTTGACTCTGTATGATCTCTAGCGTTGGAATTCCATGTGTATTGTCTGTTTACTGACTGCCATAAGTTTGCTTGTTCTTATATATACCTTGCTTTGTTGTACTTTTGTACGATTTCAATAAACACAACTGTTAAAAAAAGAATGTACAGCTGACAGCCTCCTAGCAACCAGTGACACTGACCGTGGGCAAAGCCTGATGGGGAAGCTGCGGGGGGCTAGTTCCCCATTAGGCTGCATTCACACATGAGGGTTTCGTAGCTTGAAGCTCCAAAAAAGCTAAAACTTAAAAAAAAACAATAATTTTCTATGGTGCCTGTTTTGCACGATCAGGTGTGAACAGGCACCATAGAGAACAATTGATTTTTTATGTTTGAGCTTTTTAGTAACTTCAAAGTACAAAACGCTGAAGCATGAATCTCCTTGTGATTGATAGCAGGCTGTATATTGACTAGGCTTCCACTGCCTAGTCACAAGGGGAGCAGACCTGATGGGGAACTAGTGCCTCTGAGACCCCATCAGGTTCCATCCACCCAGCTACAATGCTCGGCCGCTGTAATGTACATACCCCTTGAAATGTTCCACATTTTTTCATGTTACAACCAAAAACATAAATGTGTTTTACTGGGTTTTTATGTGATAGACCACCAAAAAGTGAAGCATAATAGTGAAGTTGAAGGAAAAGGATAAATGGTTTTCAAAATTTTATACAAATAAATATGTGAAAAGTGTGGCGTGCATTTGTATTCAGCCCCCCTGAGTCAATACTTTGTAGAACCACCTTTCGCTGGAATTACAGCTGAAGTGGTTTTTGGTACAGTATGTCTCTACCAGCTTTGCACATCTAGAGAGTGAAATATTTGTCCACTCTTTTGTTTTGCTAAATAGCTCAAACTCTGTCAGATTGGATGTGGAATATATGTGAACAGCAATTTTCCAGTCTTGCCGCAGATTTTCAATTGGATTTCGGTCTGGACTTTGACTGGGCCATTCTAACACATGAAAATGCTTTGATCTAAACCATTCCATTGTAGCTCAGTCTGTATGTTTTGGGTCATTGCCCTGCTGGAAGGCTAACCTCCTTCCCAGTCTCAAGTCTTTTGCAGACATGTTTTATTCTAAGATTTCCCTGTATTTGGCTCCATCCATCTTCCCATCAACTCCAACCAGCTTTCCTGTCCCTGCTGAAGAAAAGCAAACCCACAACATAATGCTGCCACCACCACCACCATGTTTCACGGTGGGGATGGTGTGTTCAGGGTGATATGCAGTGTTCGTTTTTTGCCACACATAGCGTTTTGCTTTTAGGCCAAAATGTTAAATTTTGCTCTCATCTGACCGGAGCACCTTCTTCTACATGCTTGCTGTGTCCCCCACATGGCTTCTCGCAAACTGCAAATGGGACTTCTTATGACTTTCTTTCAACACTGGCTTTCTTCTTGCCACTCTTCCATAAAGGCCAGATTTGTGGAGTGCATGACTAATAGTTGTCCTGTGGACAGATTCTCCTACCTGAGCTGTGTGGATCTCTGCAGCTTCTCCAGAGTTACCATGGGCCTCTTGGCTGCTTCTCTGATTAATGCTCTCCTTGCCCGGCCTGTCAGTTTAGGTGACTGTCCATGTCTTGGTAGCTTTGCAGTTGTGCCATCCTCTTTCCATTTTTCAATGATGGATTGAACAGTGCTCCATGAGATGTTCAAAGCTTGGGATATATTTTTTTTTTAACCTAACCCTGCATTAAACGTATTCACAACTTTATCACTGACCTGTCTGGTGTGTTCCTTGGACTTCATGATGCTGTTTGTTCACTCATGTTCTCTAACAAATCTCTGAGGGCTTCACAGAACTTGTGTATATATTGTACATTCACATAAGTCCCTAACCCTCAAGGGGTACATACATACACATACTAGGACCAATTTAGACAGGATCCAATTAACCTAGCAGCTTGTCTTTGGGAGGGTGGGAGGAAACCAGAGTATCCAGAAGAAACCCACGCAGGTACAGGGAGAACATGCAAACTCCAGGCAGGTGGTGGCGTGGTTGGGATTTGAACCAACGACCCTAGTACTGCCAGGCAGAAGTGATAACCATTTAGCCACTGTGCTGCCTTTGTGTTTTAACTGCCTTCTGCCCACCATATAATGATGGGAGGGCAGCAGTTCTCTTGTTCTGAAGTCATTTGACGTCCTCCCACTCTAACTGTGCATGCGCTCCCTCGGGTGCGTGCGGCGTAGTGATCGGTGGTTCGCTGTGTCCCTGAGACACAGCAGATCACCGATCACTGTAAATGACAGCTGAGTTTCCAAATGGTCAGTCCGCCCTGGGTCTGCTTAAGTTTGCTTCAGTGTGAGTGTAAATCGTGGCCAAGCCCAGAACCTTCCATAGATAACTGAGCACAGAAGCGGGGTTTTACTGTGGTCTGGTTAGCAGAGATGATGAAAGTACGCCTGGGAACACGTGCTATTAGCCCAGTGTGAGTGCAGACCAGTGCAGGAGTGGGGGGGAGGGGGGGACAATGGAACTTGGTCATGATTCAGTTCAGCTGTGCCCAGAGTGAGTGCACCTTTCATTCACATTCAGCTGTTTGTTTTCAAAGTTGCATAAAAAAAGATGCAATCAGATAGTTTGGAATGCAGTATTATATTGTGTAAAGTAAAAACAGATTATTTTTATTCCATTTGACCATTTATGAAATGCAGAAAAAAAAACCTGAAGATTTATTAAAAATGACTTTGACTACAATAGAAAAATAATTACAAGGGGGATGTACTAAAACTGTAGCACTCCGAATCTAGTGCAGCTGTACATGGTAGCCAATCAGCTTCTCACTTTAGCTTGTTCAATTGACTGCTTCCTGACCGCCCTATAGCAGAAATACTGCTACAGAGCTGCACGAGTGCGCAAAATCACATATATACGTGATTTAGCACTTCCAGGTAGGGGGCGCATGCACCACTATTCGCGGCCATGGCTGTCAATCACCATGTCCCAGCCGGTGATTACTCTCCGGTGCCCGGTGATTGCCGAGCATCTCCGATGGGGAGGAGAACTGTTTGTAAACAAAACAGTTCTCCTCCCTGTCAGCTCTTGCACACTGCTTTGGATAGCTGTGCAGAGCAGTGTGCTTACAGTGAAGCACACAGACACAATACTTAGTAAAACAGCACACAGTTCACCCTTTTTTCGCCCCTCATGTTAACCCCTTCCTGCCCAGTGCCATTAGTGTACTGTCAGTGCTTTTTTTTTTAGCACTGATCACTGTATTGGTGGTACATCTCCAGTGACACCAAGTCAGTTCCCCCCAGTATCAGAATGCTCTCCGTAGTTCCGAAGTCCCGCTATAAATTGTTGATCATCGCCATTAGTAGTAGAAATAAGAAAAAAATCCCAATATATATACCGCCATTTGTAAACGTTATAACTTTCACGTAAACCAATTAATTTACACGTTTATTTTTCTCAAAATAGTCATTTTTTTAATAGCTCTAAAAATAAAAGCGCACAGGCGATTCAATTCCACTGAAAGAAAGCTCAATTCATGGGAGAAAAGGGCATCAATTAATTTTGGGTGCAGCATTGCATGACCACGCAATTGTCAGTTAAATAACGCAGTGCTGTAACACACAAAAAATGGCCTGGTCAGGAAGGGGGGTAAATCCTCTGGAGGGCAAGTGGTTAAGCTTTGACAACAAAACCTGAAAGCTGGTTTCTGTGCAGAGCTGCTCCAGATCAGGGGCGGACTGACCATTTGGAAACTCGGGCACTGCCCGAGGGCCCGGGGTCAGTAGGAGCCCCATGAGATGCCCCTGGTACCTTTTTCATAGGCTTTTTTGAGTTTGGGCAAGGACACAGGGGCCCCATGATCCCCTTTGCCCGGGGGCCCCATGAGTTGTCAGTCCGCCCCTGCTCCAGATTTGACACTATGCAGTTTTAGTAAATAACCCCCAAGGTCTTCTTCTAGACAAACATGAAAGTAAATGACAAAAGTGATGTCTGTGTGTCACTCACATCTACATGGAGTCTACATGATCTCACTGGGAGATGTTGGTAGTTTTATACACTGCAGTGTTTGTGTGGCCATTGCTGTTACTGCTTCATGGGTTTCTTCCTTGTGATCTTCTACTTCCTCCACACAGGCCTGACTCAGCCCCTGAAATCAGACACTGCCACCGGGCAGGCTTGGGTGAATCCTGGCAGCAGTACTCCGGAGTATCTCAAGGAAGCTTTCGGGATGAAGAAGCCAAAATACTCCCGCTCCTCCAGTAACGGTAATTGTAAAATCTTAACTAAGGCAACAAGGTTCAAACTCACACAGCGGGCTTTATTTATAGGGATGGAATTGTCTTAAAGTGGATTTAAACCTTACATATACCCAGTGAAGAGACTGGCCTCAGGTGATGTAAAGAGATGAAACAATTCCTCTTACATAAGTTGTACCTGTTTATCTGTGTCTTCTACATCCATTCAAAGCACAGTCTTTTTATAGCTTGTCTGAGATTTCAGAAAAAAGGGGGCAGAGAGCTGAAATTACACACTGCAGATTTCAGTGAGGAGAGCTGATTGGAGGGAAGGAACACACCCCCTTCAAACAGCACATAGGAACAGAACTGAGGCTGTCAATCTGCTGGAGATCCCTCCCCTATCACCTTTTTTTCTCTTGGTGCCAGGAAAAACCTGTCAGCGTTCTTTATGCTAATAGCAAAGGAATGAACCAGCTGACAGAAATGACGCTCAGTGCTCTGGATAGAGACAAATACACACTATAGAGGGATATGCTTTGTTCATGAGGTTTACAAGCACTTTAAATATCCAGTGCTGCCCATAGCAGGGACGGACTGACCATTTGGAAACTCGGGCCCCATGAGATGCCCCCGGTACCTTTTTTTTGAGTTTGGGCAAGGACACAGGGGCCCCATGATCCCTATTGCCCGGGGGCCCCATGAGTTGTCAGTCCGCCCCTGGCCCATAGTGACCTATCCTGCATCCAATCAGCTGCAGACACTGTTCAGGCATTCTATCAGCTGGCAGTGCTGGTTGTCAGAATACAATAGCCACAGTAGGAAATTTGTCCATCCGTGTTGTTTAATTTGGCTGAATTAAAACAAATCTGTGTGTATGTCAAGCTTAAGATGCCCCCAAAATGACAAGAGAAGATGGCTGCATATGGAAATCTGGAAAAGGAGATCTCACTGTTACATAGGCTATTGAGTAGTTAAACTCACTGGCATCTAACCAAACTAACAGATAGACTGACCCCCCTAAATGTTGTATGTTCCACATCCTAAATGACTGATGTGAATTAATTTATTTTTTATCAACTGACAGGTTATATCCTGGGAACACCAGACGTTAAAGAGAAGGAGGACATGTATGATGAGATCTTAGATCTGAAGAAGGTATGTAGGACTGATATGTCAATTTATCCACCTTATCTGTCCTGTCTGGTGCGGTTAATAAAAAAAGGGAAAGATTCAAACTTTTGTAGCATCTTTATGTTTTCTATGTTTATACTGCCTTGTTAGTCCCACCTAATGATACAGTAACAGGGGCGGACTGACCAAATCGAGCACTCGGGCACTGCCCGAGGGCCCGGGGTCAGTATGGGGCCCCATGAGATGCCCCTGGTACCTTTCATTGTTTTTTTCATAGGCTTTTTTGGGTGTGGGCGAGGACACAGGGGCCCCATAATCCCCTATTGCCCGGGGGCCCCATTAGTTATCAGTCCGCCCCTGTACAGTAACACCCAATATTTTATCTGCAGTCTCTAATTTTCTAATGAAACTTGATGGAACATTGTCCTGTCGTTGGCCAATTTCTATCAACTAGAACAGAGATAGCCACAAAGAATACTGCCAATTCTATCTGCCGGTCCAAGTGGGCCTTATTACTGTTTGATGTAAAATCATGTGTCACTGTAAAGCTGCTTAAACAGTGTTTTTTTTTACTTAAAACTGAACTTCAGAAGTTTAGTCACTTTCTAAAATGTGCTAGCTTATATGGGATAAAGAGGCCAACAAAGTGCATGACACCTCATAGACCTATCTTAATTCTGGTGCTCCAATGCTGCACTTTCAGCTCCTGCAGATTCAGAGTCATATGCAGCCTCTCTGCCCACCCCCTCTTCTCCGCTTAAGCTCTATGCATTATGTACACCCATTCAGCAAATACAAAGCCCTCTGTGAATGGGCAGAAGAGCAGAGGGATGAGCAGAGCAGGGGCTATGTGAGAAAGCAGGATTACTCCTGGATCCCTTAAATCCCTGATGCATCCTGTGCTTGCAGTGCCTGTAGATGGAGGGGACAAAGTCCCTGAGCTGACGCTTGCCAAGCTGTTGCCTCTGGGATTCTGAGGCCCTGAGCCCAAAACTGATCTGAGTTAAGCGCTTCCAGGTTTCAATCTAAGCGGAAGAGATTAGCCAGCACTCTTTCCATGTGGAACTTACCTACAGGAATCTTGGGCACACAAAAAAGCTTTGTGATTGCTGGCAGGGTATCATACTACATGTTGGTAGGAGTGATCAGGTAGCTTTACATCTACATGTAAAGATATAAAAAAATCATCTGTATTTTCTATGTTTAGCAAATCAGATTCTGTTGGCTGAAAAGCCACGAAATCACTGCTGTCTGCTAGCCCATATTTACCCTGCACTTGTGTGCACTTGGGATGAGTTTTAGCAAAAGTGGAGATGTTTGGAAGTGGGGCTGTGTACATATGGCATAGGTCACAAGAGAGAGCTGAGCAGTAAAACAAATATAAAAAAAAAGAAAACAAATCAACTAATATGCATTTTTATAACTTTATTGAGATTTTATGCTCTTGAAACAATCTGATTAATTTGTGCTCCATCAGCTTTAAAAGAAGGTAAGTGAGATGTGTCCCATTAGAAGGAAAGAATACAAATATTTCTATCTTCTATTGGATGATTTTCCCTATAAGATATGAATAAAATTTTAGTAAAAGTAAAACAACTTCAAAATATAAAGTTTCATCTAAGCTCCTAAATATCTCCCCTAAAAATGTTTGAGCCCATCCTGCCCCCAAGTGCACACAGGAATGTCATTGCACCCATTAGGGGCACCTATGTATGAAAACTAACAATTCTGAATGAACCCTCTACACACTGCTAAACAATCTTTCTAGCAAACTTTGCATAAAAATAGGGATTTTTTAGTTCACATAGATTGCAATACATGTTTAAGCTGGTCCACTGCATCACCATAACCCCTATCTATGGCCAGTCTCTTCGCTACTCAAAATGCAAAAATACTTGCTTATAGAAAACTTTAGTTGATATTGTGCCAATATGGGGCAAATAGACACAAGATGTAGAAGAGCTATAGGTTGAAGTCTGGTCACTGACCTGCACTATGCAATAAAATAAAATATACCTGTGCTCAAATCCCAACAGTTATACATTTACATGCAGCGGGCAAGATAACTATATTGAACACGTCACTATTGTTCTAGGTAAATGTATTTCTAAAGGTGCTATCGACCTGAAATTTTCACCACATGTCGATAAAAACCCATGCAATCCATACATACAAAGAGACCAAAACAAATATATTCAGGAGATAAGGTATGTGTAATAAAATGGAATGACACAGGGTAGAAGTATTGAACACATGGAGAAGGGGAGATGCACAAAGGCATGGAAAGTCAAGACACCAGCTGAAATCTTTCAGTAATTAGAAAGCAATCCTGCCCCTTGTCAGTGCAAATGAATATCAGCTGGTTCAGTCTCAAATGATGCCTATAAAAAGGTGTCTCATTACCAAGGTGTCACACAAGAAACATCTCATGATGAGTAAAATCAATGAGCTCTCTCAAGACCTTTGCAACCTTACGGTTGTAAAACATACTAAAGGCAGTGGTTAAAGAAGGATTTTTAAACTTTTGAATGTTCCTGTGAGCACTGTCAGGGCCATAATCCAGAAGTAGCACATAATTTCACAATACACCAGCCACAACCAGGTGGTGCTCACAAGATTTCTGATAGAGGAGTGAAAAGGATTTAGTAAAAGGTTGATGAGGAGTGCATGTGACTAGTTTCTGCATACAAGAGGTGTCTTGAAGCTGTCATTAGAAAGTAAGGATTTTGAACAAAGTATTAAACTTCAGTTAACGTGTGCAATACTTTTTCCCTGTGTCATTTCATTTTATTACACATAACTTAATCTCTGAGAGAGAGATACACACACACACACACACACACACACACACACACACACACACACACTAGGTGTCTAAGGCACATGACTGTATGTTGCCATTATAAATGCTAAATGGACACTCTGCACAGTGCTATACCCCCCTTCTAGCAATCTCTGCATGAACACAGCGATTTTTAGTTCACATGCATTGCAATACATGTTTAAGCTGGCCAACTGCGTCAAAGTAATCCCTCTCTGGCCAGCCCTACTCTACTCTAACTCTAAGTCTAACTCTAGTCTACTCAAACTAATTTTTATTTTTATTTTTTCAATATATATGTATATATATATATATGTGTATTTTATATATATATATATATTGTTTATATTTTTATATGTTTTATAGTTTTTATTTTTATTACCATACTCCTAATCTCTACTCTACCGTAGTTTACTCTAGATTACATTAGTAGTAGTAGTAGTTTTACATTAGTGTACTCCAACTCTACTCCACCTCTTCTCCAATTCCTGCTACTCTTCTCCTACTCTACTCCTCTCCTGCTCCTTCTCTACTCCTCCTCCTCCACTTTACTCCTCCCATATCCTGCTTCTACTCTACTCCTCTTCCTATGCTACTCCTCTCCTTCTCCTCCTCTTTCTCTACTGTACTGTATCTCTAGCCTGCTGCTCTACTCAATACTTACCTCCTCATATTTGGTATATGATTTGTTGCATAGTGAATATGAAAAATCAGTTGTTAGAAATTGGATGGTCCATCCAAAATGATGCCTATGTGGGTTTGGGTGGTTTTGGTGGTGGACGCTTGCGTTTCCTGGGAAATCGGGTAAATTTTTGATTTTCCAGGCATTGAATAAAATGTGGTCTTAGGAGCTTTATATTGTACTTACACTCTGGATTACCTCCAGGAGTCAAAAGCTCAACCATATTTGCAGCTGAATACATGACACAACTGGGATCATTTGCTGGCTGCTGCTGCACTTTTAATAATGTAATGTGTTTTAGTGGGTCTTTCAGAAGAACTCTATAGCATTCTTCAGTCTGTTTAAAGGCAGCTGATGTATAATCGATCACCAGTTGACTGTCGGCCATCACCACCCGTTTACCATTATAGGCCGTTACAAAAACATGTCCTGGCAGTATGTGTAACTGAATGGTTGGTTTTAACACTGGATTACAATTGAGCCAACCATTCTTATGTGCATGTTCTGTGTGTGTTGAAATTGATTTTTTATTATTTTGACTACAGCCTGGACAACAGCAGAGCTGACAGACTGATCATTTTCAATGTCAGCCTTGTCCTGCATGCGGAGTCCCAATTGTGGGATCCAGGCTGCAGTAGGGTCAAGTTTTAAAACCTTCGCCTGTGGCTCGCTGTCTTCACATGTTGTCCTCAACATAACATATTATTATATGCCGTGTTACTTTGCTATATATTTATATACAGTATATATATGTGTTTTTGCGTTTTTTGCACACGTTTAAAAAATCATTTAGGGCCTAAAGATGACACAAAACTCCAAAACATTATATATATTTTCTGAAATCAGAGACCTTAGAGCAGGGGTCCTCAAACTTTTTAAAAAGGTGGCCAGTTCACTGACCATCACACTGTTGGGGGGCCGACTATAGTTTGAAAAAATATGAACAAATTCCTTTGCACACCGCACATATCTTATTTGTAATGCAAAAAAAACCCAGGAAAACACAATACAATATTATTATTACAGTACGCACTGGACACCACAATGCACTGTACACTGTAATTCACTGGACACTGCAATGCACTGGACACTGTAATGCACTGTACACTGTAATTCACTGGACACTGCAATGCACTGTACTCTAATGCACTGGACACCATAATGCACAGTACACTGTAACACACTGGACACCAACATGCACTGTACACTGTA